TAAACAAAACTTGGTTCTTGCGAGACTAGCATATTCTCACCAGAGTTTACGCTATGCCTACGTCCTCCATCATCCGCTGGAACACCACTTTCGTTTGTGTTGTTAACTGTTTGTGAACGAATGGTTTGATGCACTTTATTGGACTTCAAAATCTCAACACCCATTCACTGTCATTATAAAGCTATGAAGCATTTGAAGAGCCAGGACATTTTTTAATATAACTCCGATTGTATTTGCCTGAAAATCGAAAGTCACATAAATCTAAGATGGCTTGACACCAGTAAATCATGGGGTAGGCCTAATTTTCATTTTTGGGTGAACTATCCCTTTAATGCCTCCTTGGTGAATAAAAGTATTTTTTTATGTAATAGTTTAATATAATATGTATAGGTTTATATAATACAGTATGTTCATTCATTTATATAAAATGTGTTAATTTTTTAGGGGACACTCAGTTTCACAGCTAGATTTTTATATTTTCTGAAGAAAATTAGTGATATTTGTAGATGTGTTCGTTTTGCTATGGTTGATCAGCTTTGTGAACAGAGACTCTCTGTGACCTTTGCTTGCCAACAGTGGCCAATAAAAACATGGGACACATTCCAGGAATTCTCTAGTCCAATAGAAACCGCTCTCAAAGTATATTGTAGTGATTGCAGGTCTTTGTTTGGGGACACGTAAAACAATCAAATGTTAGGTATTAAAATTCAGCAAATTTTAGAAAGCATTCATTGCTCATTATTTACAATAAAGAAACGAATTTGTATCAGCCGTGCTAAACATGAACTTTGGAAAAGGGTATGGTACTGGTAATGGCTGGACCAGTCACAACTGACTAGTATTTGTAATTTAGGTCATCGTATGTTGGCAAGTTTCCAGTGGTCAGTTTCAAAACCAAATGGCATGCCAGAGATTTTAGCTACTGTGAGAGATGTGTATTGCCAGACTGTGTATTGGTTTGGTGAGCCGTTGGTGAGGAAGTGTCGGGTATCGCTGATGTCATGCACTAGCTCCGCCCCCATGTACCTGTACAGCAGGAATTCAGCAGGTGGGAGCATGCTCAGCTAGAGCCATTCCTTCTCATGCTCGGCCGAGCTGACAAACAACAGCCGAGTGCTGGACCTTCAAAAAGAAGTGAGGCCCTCAAAAACTGGTGCTTTTCGTCTGAACAGATCTTTGTTTGGTAGCTTTGTAAACAATGTATATTTGTTGTTGTTTGTTTGATGTTGCACATATGAATGTAGCTGTTTCTTTCTCGTTTCAGAAAGCAGACATGGAGGAGATGACGATATGGGAGCAGCACACGGTCACGTTATC